GTGATTTTTTTTCATTTACTTACAATTTTACAAAATAGCCCCTTAGAAATATAGTCAGCCATTGGAATGCATATTATTAAAATAAGACATCAGCAAAAATGGCAGAATGAGGACCTTGGAAAATTCTATCCATAATAGCAATGAAAAAACTGGCAAAATGGTCAGAATCAACACTTTCAGAACTCTTGAAATTAACCAGAGGCTTTCAAAAATCTGGGGAGTATTTATTTATTCAAGAAAAACAGCTGCATTTTGGTAAGAATAGTGAGCTTTGTGGTGTTTTCATTTGCCCTCCATCCTTCCCTTGCTCACCAGCCCTGCAGTAGCCTTAGGAATCCACAGCCTGCAGTCACAGGGAAAGCCCGCAGCCTGGCAGCCCCGTGGGGACACAGAATGGGGTTGGAGCTCCGATAAAGCCTCCTTTCTAGAGAATTGTCATTATTTGATCTGTCAAGTGTTTCCCCAGAAGATCCCACTTGCAAGACTGCCTTTATTTGCCCTGACTTGGAACTGCAGAAGGCCTTTCTCCAGGGGCTTCTTTTGAAAACCATTTGAGGCAATCAATTAACTTCACAGCTGCCTGAGGCAATAGCTAACTAAAAATCTTAAAAGGAAAAACTGGGGAATAACATGCCCATTGGGGCCTGGAAAAGTTCGCATTTTCCTAGGAATCCAGAAAAGCACATGCTGCTCAGGGCTGTGTGCATTTCCAGGGCTGTGCTCAAGCTTAGGAAAGACTGGAGAAGGCCCTAAGCTCTCTTGTCTGATCCTGAAAGGGAAGACTGGAGCAGAGTCAGCATCTGCCTGGCTGAGTGTGGAAGGTATGTCTCAACATGTATACAGAGCCCCTTGGCCAAGATTGGGAGCACTTTTTGGCTTCAGTTTCAGGAAATCTTTGTTCAGTTATTAACTAACCACTGAACTAACACAGAGACTTTGGTGCAGTAATTATTACTGAAGTAAAATGGAACAGAGTGAAGCCTGTTATCTATCAGACTTTGTAGAACCTAATTGTTGGTCTACCAAGCTGCAGTATTTATAGCTCTGCCTGTGTAGGTCCTATCTCTTTAAACAGGATGAAAGGGCAGGAAACTTACATGGGCTGCTCTCTTGTTAATTTTAAGGCAAGACGAAGTAGTTTATGAAAAATGTTTTTAAAAGGATTGCTGTTATAGTAGTCCCCCTTATCTGTAGGGGATATGTTCTAAGAACCCCCCTCCCCACTCTTAGTGGATGCCTGAAACCACAGATAGTATCAAATCCTATACGTACATGTTTTTTCCTATACATGCTTACTGATGATAAAGTTTAACTTATAAATTAGGCACAGTAGAGATTAACAACAATGATTAATAAAATTGGACAATTATAGCAATATACTATAATAAAAGATATCTGGTTGTGGTCTCTCTCAAACTTTCTTATCGTATTATACTCACCTTTCTTCTTGTGGTGGTGCAAAATGACCCAATGCCTTTGTGGTGAGATGAAATGAGGTGAATGAGACATTATTAAATAAAATAAGGGTGAGGGCCGGCCGAATGGCTCAGTTGGTTAAGAGCTCGCTCAAGAGTTTGAGCTCTGAGCAACAGCGGTTCGAGGCCAGCCCGAGCTGAGCAGCCGCTAAGCTGCCAATACGTAGCAGGATGGCTCAGCTAAAAATAAATAAATAAATAAATAAATAAATAAATAAAATAAGGGTTACTTAGCCACAAGCACTGCGATGCCCTGATAGCCTGATAGCCTAGACGCCTATTAAGTGACTAATGGACAGACAGGTACATATACAGCATGGAGACACTAGACAAAGGGATGATTCACATCCCAGAGTGACGGAACGGATGGCATGAGATTTCATGATGCTACTCAGAACAGTGTGTAATTTAAAACTTATGAATTGGTTTTTTTTGGAATTTTTCATTTAATATTTTCCTGCTGCAGTTGACCGGAGGTAACTGACAGAGTGGAAAGCGAGGGGGCACTACTGTAGTCAGAAGCGATTCTGTTCGAAATGCAATTTCACTTCTGCATCTCAGCCACATCCCAGTTTGCTTCTTCATCTCTCTGACTTCTCCTTGTGGAAGACCTGTGTCTCTTCCCTAGACCTCCTTGTACATACTCCTCTCATGTTACTGCCCCTTGCTTCTGTTAATCTCATCTTCTGGTCTGGCTTTCATTTGTTTCACCAAGTAGCTTCCGCTTGGGCTGGCTCTGGAGTCTGTCTTCCAAGAGGAGAATCAGGAAGAATAAAGACTATAATGACCTTGCTCGCCTGAGCAGGGCTGAAGAGCAAGAGGCAAATTCTTTGGCTGCCATTTTGGTCAGAGCTGTCTCAAAGGAAGCAGTGCAGTTCTCAGCCTTTAAGGGGCGGTGCTAATTTGACCAGATAGCTGGGCAGTGACTCACTGAGACAGGGTTGGTGATAGAGAAATGGTTTTTTTCAGGCAGTTCTAAAAAAAGACCCACGGCTTCTATGCATACATGCTGTACATTCATGCAGTGCTGCCCTTCCTCACCCTGAGCAGGGGAATGCCAGAGGACTGCCTCTTTCCCATGCTCCTCTTAAGCTACTGATCTCCTGACTTTGTTTGTGTCTCTAGGCTACACTAGATATTCCTTTTAACCTGATTTATCCTGCCTGTGAGGGGTAGAGAGTAGGGTGGGAAGGTACACAGTGTGATTTAGGCCACCTCAGTCCACCACCTTCTGGGGATGGCCTGTCCTGGGTGATCATTTTTAGCCTGGTATTTCCTGAACATGGGCCAGGGCTGAGGCCAGTGACAGAAAGGCTAAGACAGCACCGGCTCCCTGGCAGATTCGGCAGTGATGAGTTTTCCCTGGGGAACAAAATGGCTGTCTCATCTTTAACTTCTTTAGGTTTGAAATACTGCTGAGACTATTATCTTACTGATGAAAACATCTTGAGGAGAAAGGCTACTTAAATCCCTGAAAGACTGGTCATCTGTAATATGTTTCAAGAAAGGCAGTGTCTCTGTCCTGGGTAGCTATGTTTCAAAATTATACCTTCAAACAAATTATAACTTCAGCTTGTACAAATTATGCAAAGTATAACTTGAACCTCCAACTGAATATTTTGAGCAGGTGAGCCTGTTTTCATGACCAGGTATGACTCATTTATATGTAAGAACATTTATTTCTATGAAAACAGCATGCTTCTGGCTTAGAAAGCAGAGTCAAAAGAAAACAATTTGTTTTCAAGTGAGTTAAACATATCCCACAATGCCATTTTTTCAGGAAACCATTTCCATGGGACTTTTAGGGGCTACTTTGGGGGAGCCCCTGCACCGACTTGTAGCTGCATAGTAGAGCCCCTACTCTCTCAGAGCTGCCCTCCCTATAAGGGGATGGGGTGACGTCAAGAGCTGAGAGGAGAAGGTATGTGTCGGGTGGCTTAGCTTTGAACTTGAATTATGATCCTCATAGAAATAACACCATAAACTAAGAAATATTCTATCAATTTGATTTTTCTGGTTACAGGTTAAAACAGGGTTTGTTTTTTTTGTGGGCTGGCTTGTAAACTTATTTACTACCCACAATATTATTTCCCTTAGAAAATTACTTGAAGAGGGCCGGCCGAGTGGCTCAGTTGGTTAAGAGCTCGCTCAAGAGTTTGAGCTCTGAGCAACAGCGGTTCAATGCCCGGCCTGAGCTGAGCAGCCGCTGAGCTGCCAACAGGTGGCAGGATGGCTCAGCTACATTAAAAAAAAAAGAAAATTACTTGAAGAGAACTTGTGAGTTTGAACCCCTTCACAAGTCAGTCTTGATTCTTTTAGCAGACCCTTTCCCCACAGTTGGTACAAAAGTGAATTTTAACTCATCCTACATTACCTGGGCATAGTTCTGAGTGTGTGGCTTGTATACTTATGAGGTTTAATTATTTTTTATTTGGTTACTTTAGCTTAAGGGATAACCATAGTCATTTGTGAATCCCAAGAACAAGTTATATTTATCATCAGACACAAGAACCCCTTCTTCACAGAAAACATATGTCAATAAAATGGCAAATAAAAGTACCATGAAAAAATCTGGTTTTCCAGCTAAAATATTACATTTTTATAGTTGTATGATTTTTTTTTAAAGATTTTTATTGTGGAATTGGGGGAGGGGAACAGCGCTGGGGAATTGGGGGAAGGGAAACAGACAAGTTGCTGTCTTTTTGTTCTTCAGTCTAGTTGTGGAGGACGTTGCTTCACTGGACCAAGTTGGCACCATCATTGCGCTCTTCCCGGGTGAGGCAGATCAGTCGCTGGCTTCTGGACGGCCACTCACAGTGGCTGCTGGCTACACATGGTAGCCCATGGCAACCCACTGCAGCAGGAGTTGCAGCCTATGAGGTCGCCGGCGGCTCACAGCAGCCCAGCTCCAGGTTGAGCTGTTGTTCAGCATCTTAGCTGTGGAGGGCAGTGTCACTGGCCCTCATATGTGGGATCCAAACCGAGGCCCTCTGGCATCCCAAGCCAGCTCTTAACCAATGCGCCACTCGGCAGGCCCTAGAGTTGTATGATTTTTTAGGCTTATCAAAGCCCCCTCCAAGCCACTGGCTCCTAGAAACCTCACAGCATTCCCTGTGATGTGGTCAGGAGTTAGGTATTGAGGTTTTATTATATCACCTTGATACACTCATTGTAGGAGAAGCTACATAAGTGACTATTTACAAAGATGGCCCCGTGAAAGAAAAGGTTTTGAGATAATTGTTGCCAAATAATTATTCAGAGGTGGTGCCAAATGGGACCATGGTAAAGGGAAGGTTAAAAGAGGTGGTCAAGAGAAAATCCCTCCACCGAAAGATTTTGCAGCCTTGTAAATGTCTTTGTTCCTCAGAGAAAAAAAAATATTTGCTTTCATTAGATTAGAGCCCATGGCTTTTAACTTTAGGAGGAAGGTAAATAATCATTAAACCACAGAGTAAATAATCAATAAACCACAGAAGCAAGCCCCCTCTGTTAAATTTTGCTTACGTATCTTTCCTTTTCTTTCAGTTTTATCCAAGTATGAAAACCAGAATACTATTTTCTCTGACTACCTAGAAGAATTTCCAGATACTGATGAGCTGGTATGGATCTTGGGGAAACAGCATCTGCTGAAAACAGGTAAGGTTTTGTAACATTTGTCTGTGAGGACCCAAACGAGGTGGGTGCCTGAGGTTAAGGTCCTTTACTTTTTTTCCTCCTTGGGTTGGTAAAACATTACCTTGGTAACAATTGATTCTACTCCTAGGAAGATTTATTTACCTCACAGCCAAAATAGTTTAAGTATTAAGGCCCTTCCCTTGCACAGGCCCCCTCCAAGGGCCTGAGTGGCCCTTGCAGCATGTTCACATGGTCACAAATGTTTGTATGATTTGAAAAAGTCATCTATTTGTATTCTTTTCCCTAGAGGAAAACCCAAATTCTATAAACCTGGAGTTCCAAAAACCAAGGCCCACTCCCAATATCTTTAACCAGAATCTAGTCTTTGATGACCTGGCTTTCATGCCTCTCAAGTCATTTTCTGTCCAGATTAAAAATGCTGCCACCTAGTGGACTTCTCAACAGCCCATGGCGATCAGAATCAATATCGGACACTGAGAAATTTTGTGGTTTTACATGTTTCACTGACTGGAGTACTGTCTCAGTTTATTCTGATTTTGTATAGAACTTTTAGCCACTGCAGCTAGATGGAAAGGAGGCTTGAATTTTTCTTCCTTGCCCTTACATGAAAAGACCTTTACACATAAAACTGCTAACAACTCTCCACCCAGATAAAGCCTGAGCTTGGCGAGAGGCAGCTCTGATTTGGTATCTGCCTGAAGAGAGGCCCTTAGCATGAAGGAGGGACAGGAAGAAGCTGATCAAAAGGCCACAGAGGGAGTTGGGCGTTTTGTAGCTCCTCCCGACTCTGGCTTCATCATTTTCATAGGAGAGCGCCCATGGCTAGCAATTAGGAGAAGTTTGTCTTCAGACTCTACTACCTAAGATTAGTCACTTTGTCCTTCGGGATCTTCACTCCCTTCACCAGCACATGAAATGAGGGCGTTGGAGATGATGTCTTCTAGTTCTGTATTCCAGGACAGCAGGAATCCCCAAGTTGCCAAACATGCCCATATTCAAATGTTAAGTTGGGAAATGCCTTTCAAAGGGAAATTGTTAAACTTTCCATACCCTTCCCCAGCCCTTCTAGTATATAGACGAGCTGGGAGGTGTAGAGAATATCAGAGGAAGGAGTGAGTAGTCTGAACATTTGAGAGGAGGCATATGTAAGAGCAGATAACAGTTATCGCAGGCTTACTGCATAGTGTACCATCTAAGCACTTTCCATGTGTTATCTTATTGAATACTCACAGCTCTATGAAGTAGGTACTATTATTCTCCCCATTTTCCGGATGAGGAAACGGAGGCTCAGAGGGGTTAAGTGACAAGGCTACACAGTTGGTAAGTAGCAGAGCCAGAGTTCAAAGCCAGGCAGAGTATGATTCCAGAAATCTTACTCTTAACCATTATGCACCTGCTTCCCCAAATGTGCTAGACCCTGTGGACATGAAGGGGATTGAAAATCCAGACAGTTCAGCTTTCTGATTTGTTCAAAGGAAAGGCAGGAGAGAAAATAAAAACTATTGGCTAAAATTGAATTTCCTTTTTTTCTTTTAAAGTGCAATGGCTGTAAGTTCTATACAGAATACAAACATGGATGTATTGCTGAAAGGTGGGCAAGAGAAGACAAAGTCAGAACCACATCTAAGTACAGATATGAAGATGGAAGTCATATTGTGGCCATTGAAGTAAATTTGCCATAAAATATAAGAAAGCATGTTTTCAAAAGACACAAAAACATACATGATGTTATACATCCATTTAGATTACAAATGCCAGTTGCATTAGGTAGTACTGATACATGTCTTACACACTTAATTAACAGGGACATTTCCTTTTTAGTTAAACATCTGTGTGTGTGCACACACACATGCGCACACAGACACACATGCGCACACAGACACACACATACATGCACACGCATGTGTGCGCACACACACACACACACAGTTCTAGATAACAGACAGTGGGTACTGATGACAGATCCAATCAACTCTCATCATTTAGGCCGGGGGCCAATTGCCTTGTTAGTGGGTTATCCAGGATCCTTGCTTTTCCTATTCCTTGTCTTCTGGCCATGACCCCAGTGTTAGTACCTGCCAGGTCCATGGAGCGCAGTGAACAGGAACTACCCAGCATCATTGTACCAGCCAGTCGCTCTGGTCAAAACATATAGGTAGGGGGAAATGCTGAAATTATTTGGCTCAAATGACTTGGGTTTCCTATGAATTTTCCTAGCCCCGTAACAATGGCATTGACTGATTATTCGAAAATGAATTTGCTGCTGGCTGAGAAATCAAAGACAGATGTCTTCAGATGGGATATGGTGATTTAATTTGAATTTCACATTTAATTACAGAAAAATCTAAGCTGTTGTCTGATATAAGTGCTCGTCTATGGTTTACATACAGAAGGAAGTTTTCACCAATTGGTAGGTATATCATTTGTTGTACTGTGCTTCCTTCTTTATAGATAGCTTGCCTGAAGTTATCAGTGACTTCACAGAAACCTCAGAAATAAGAGCTCACTATGGCAAATAATTTGATTTAGGGGAGTAGTTACGTCTTACACTTTATGCGAAAGTTTCATTGCCAAGGTACACCATCATGTATGGTTCCATGGTGTTAGTTTGTAATGCCAGTATACTTTTGAGCCCACCTCCAAGTGTTTGGGCACTGGATGGTATTACTTGTTTTACATCTGAGAGCAAGGAAAAAGGCAAATTAACTTTTCATTTGGGCAATATGTATTAAATTACAGTCTACTGCTTTGTGGAACTACTTGATTATTGAAGACAGTTGTACCTTGAAGGAAGGAAAGAAAATAATTCTTTTGATTGTTTTTCCCCTGTGAAATGCAAACACCTTGCCACTGGGAGATGAATTATGATAGATTTCCTTGGAACTAATTCTCGGCCGATGGAGTACCAGCTACTGTCTAGAAAAAAAGGACAGCTCAATAAGCTAAGTGAATATGCTCCCTCTAGAGAAAACTTGTACAATGTTTGCAAGTAGGGTGACGTCTTCCTGGCATCATGGCCCTGTCGGAAAAGATTACCAAACTGAAATGGTGGAAGCTGTTCTCCTAACAGGAAACCTGTCTGACCAATTTTGGTGCAGGACTGGACCTAATAATTATAGTCAGATCAACTTTTCTGATAAGAGCCAAAAATGAAGTGCACACAGACATTTTTTTTGCTCTCCACAGGAAGTACCTGAGCAGTAAAACAAAACAAAACAAAACAAAACAAAACAAAAACAATCTTTAGTACCCAGTGATTCTAAACTGTTAACTTTCTCTGGGTGAAGAGGTCTTTGCAAGGCTTGAAAACATTGGCAATTCAACCCTGACAATGTGTTGGCAATAGGCAATCTCTTCTCGATGTGGGCTTCGCTGCATCTTTTCCATACTAATTTGACCTATAATCCCACCATGAGCAAGAGCCAAAGGGCTCCCCTTCCAGCTGACAGGTGGGCTCAACCCTCCCCTTGTTGCTGTAGCAACTCTCCTTCAGTCCCCACAACAAAGGGAAAGGGGCAGCCACCTTGGCCCACTTGTCTTACAAGGATGATGACTCCCTTTAAAGTGAGTCTTGTGAGATCAGGCTTTTAGCATACTTTGCCACTTCCCTGTTGGGAAAGGAAAGCAGTGAACACAGCATGTCTCCTCTGCCATCCAAGTTATCTGATTTCATTGGTGCCTTGAAAAAGGATATTGAGCTCACCCTGGCCCCATATGTGGGATTTTCATTACATCAAGTGTTCTTAAAATGGAACCAGTTGTCTTATTTCAATTATTAACTGGTTTTGTGCCTTTTAAAGATGTAGTCCATTTCTAGTTTATTAGTAGTATTTTTAATTGTGACCTTACTCATAACACCAAATATTTACATCATCTTGAGTGGGTTTTAGAACACTTGCACGGATATTCTCTCCTTTAATTTTTACAATAGCCATTGATAGTAGGCAGGGTGTGTGCTGTTATCTCCAGTCTGCAGATGAGACTTAGATTAGGTAACAAAGATCGGTCTTCTGATGCCTAATGTAAGACTCGTTCCTCTATTTTACATCGCCCTTCCTGCTGTTCAGACCTTTATAATGCACGTTTAGAACAGTCAAGCTCCTCCCAGATCTCATTGACCATTTTGGTCACTCTCTTTGGTAGCATTTATTCCTTAACTAAGGTAAGACTGGCTTCCCTGAGAACTGAGCTGTGCAAAGCCAGGTTTGATCAGGCAGATGACGCTATGGTACAGACTCAGTGTTGGTAGGCATACATGGCAGCCATCTACGAAAATTGCATGCGTATCTAGAAGTCGCCAAGCAGAAGACATAAGGGGCAGGTTTTGTTCATTTGCTTGTTTTGTTTGTGGCCATAGAACCCATTTTGGTTAACTCAGCATTATCTTTGCAAGTTCCACCCTATAACAAACCCTATCTGATATCCGGCTGTATCCCTTGCCTCTCTTTTCAGAGTACGTGTGTCTGTCTGTCTTGTATAGCCCCAGATATGCTGATGTTTTGGGAAAGGGCAATTTCAGGAACTCACATTCCTTCCCTTCCATTTCGCCATCAGGGGGAACGGGCCCTTCATCAGATGCTGGCTGGGGATGTATGCTACGCTGTGGACAGATGATGCTGGCTCAAGCCCTTATCTGCAGACACTTGGGCAGGGGTGAGTTAAATTTGTCCTCTAAACTGCCTCAGAGACCGCTGCAGTCGCACTTACTGCTGGTGGTTTCCCATCGGTACTGACCTTGAGGAACCCTCAGTAACAGAGCTGCAGGTCCTAAAATGCTCCCTGTGAGCTCAAGTGGTGTGGCTGACAAGTCGACAGAGCCTCTCATGAGAAAGAAACAGCCAACATTTCCTTGTGATTCACCAAGCCAGAGAGGTGTTTCCTGGGGCAGAACTGGACGTGGAGGCAGGTGTGTCATTTAGTTTCCATCTTCGCTATTGTTTGAATGAGTCCTTAAACAGGCCAGATAACAAAGAGAGGAAGAAGGGTGTGGTGGTAAGTCTGTTTCTTGACCTCATTGAAAATATCTGCTTGGTGAAGGATGTAAATGACCTAAAGGAAGTGCCTAATGAGGGAACTAGTGCTATTTTGGTCTGGATTCACTGAGGATGTCCATTTGATGATGAAGGAATACTTCAATTAGCTTCTTCAAGAGGCCTTTTCATTAAGAATGTTCCAGTAATCATTGTTGGAACTCTTGAGTCTTGTTTCTTAAGGCACATGTGTGCTTCCCTATCGGTATCTGTAGGCTGACCTTGGCCAGATGCCAGCTTAGGCAATCGGGTGAAAGTCCGGTTCCACTTGGGGATGAGGGAGTGAAAGGACACCTTGGATGAGATTAGGCTGCTGAACTCACTGACTGTTGCTCTTTCAGATTCGGAGAGATGGAAAAGTCATTTGCTTTCTTCACTGCACAGCCCAGCACTCTCTGCTGCTGTTATCTGAGATGATTGGGGAAGGGCCTGGGGAGGTTTGAGGGCTTAATGCCTTCTTTCAGGGTTTAGGATATCTTGTGCCTGCTTCCCCTGGGTAGTATAGTAATTTCTGTTTAACAGGTAAGGAAACTGAGGCTTAGGAAGTAAGATAACTTGTCAAGGGTCAAACAGCACGAAAGCATAGATTTGGGAATAGAATGCAGGTCTTTTGACCCCTTGTTTGGTGATTTCTCTATGGTACCCACACTTCTTGGAGCACTTCCATTTTTTTTTCTTCAAAACTTTTTTTTAATTGTATTCTATTGGGGAATTGGGGAAGGAGAACAGTGTTGAGGAATTGGGGAAGGGGAACATCCAAGTTGTTGTCCTTCGATCTTAGTTGTGGAGGGCGCAGCTAGCTCAGCTCCAAGTCCAGTCTCCATCCAGCTGCCTGTCGGCAGCTCACGGCCGCTCAGCTCAAGGTGCTGTGTTCAATCTTAGTTGCAGGAGGCGCAGCCGACCATCCCATGCAGGAGTTGAACAGGGAACCTTATTGTTAAGAGTGCATGCTCTAACCACTGAGCCATCTGGCCGTTTGTTGGCAGCTTGCAGCAGCTCAGCTCATGGTGCCATATTCAATCTTAGTTGCGAGTGGGCGTAGCCCACAATCCCATGCGGGAGTCGAACTGGCAACCTTGTTGTTAGGAGCATGTGCTCTCACCAGCTGAGCCATCCTGCCACCTATTGGCAGCTCAGTGGCAGCTTAGGTTGGGTGCAGCTCACTGGTCCATGTGGGAATCGAACCGTTCACCCTGTTGCTCAGAGCTCGTGCTCTTAACCAACTGAGCCACTCGGCTGGCCACAGCACATCCAATATTATTAGTTAACTTTTTCTCATTTATAAAACACTTCAAGATGATTCTTCTGCAAGTGAATTTTGTGGAAAGCAAACTAGAAAAAAAACCACAGTCAGCAGTCTCAATTGTTTTAATATAAAAGCAAGTAGCAGGAAGAATTTGGAAATAGATCTTATAGCAAAGATGAATTAGAAGATGTAATTTTGTGAAGAAGTGTTTCCTATTTGGTTATTTTACAATTGAGGTGGGTTGTTTACTTATCACTGTCATCAGAAAATATTTAGTGGTACTTAGCAGCCAGCTAGTCAGGATTTCCCCAAACTTGGACAGTTTGGTAGCTGATGAAAAACGGTTGCATACAGTTTACCTTCTGAAGACTGTGCTGAATACAAAGTTTAAAACTTTGGTTTCAGAAATCCTATTGTAGAAGCAAAGAGATTGGAAGACGCTGGAGGTAGTGGTCATTGGCTTCAAGTGTATTTCAGTTGTGAATTCAAACTCTCTCTAAAACCTCAGGAGAGAAGTTTGTCTTAGAAGCAAGCTAAGCCCCATTAGACATAGTTCCTAGAGCTGAGGGAATGGGAGCAGTGCATCCATCCATAGCAGCGATTATGGTGAGTTTTTGCAGTTGTCCTTCATAGAATGTGAGGGGCTGTGCCTACGGCACAGGTGGGATTCCTACAGATGTAATTATTTTGGTTTTGATCATAAGGAAACCTTGAACACCTGATAGCAAAAGTATTTGTTTTTCCAAAGCTCAGTGCGGACTTTTTAAAGGTTGTGTAAAAATGGCAGCATGTGATTTTTTTAAAGCTTCCTCAGTTGTGAATTGTATCTGCTTCCCTATGAATTGTGCGTCAGAATAGCACTTCCCCCCATGAGACTCTTCTGGCAATGCTGCTAAAATATAAGGGCAAGTCCGTTCCTTGCTGTCTGTGTGGAGATGAGACTCTGGTGTCTGGGTGTTATTTGGATATATTACTAGGTTTGGTGGTGACCCCCTGGTCACTAAGGAGCTGACCAGAAAGGCCCTTGTGAGACTGTTTCCGTGTTTTTCAATGTTTATCCAGCTCCAGCCGTGGGGCTAAGTCAATTCCTTGGTCCACTTCTTGTTTTACTTTCCACCCACTGAATCTCTGAAAGTAATCAGTTTCCAGATGTCTTTGTCATCAAAATTAAAGATAGTCAGGAAGGGTCTACGCTGATCATTCCCACCTTCCTGATACAGCTTCTTTGTTGTCCTTCTAACCTTGTGGTTATACTAAGAGTTCAGAGAAGTAATAAGAAATTATAAAAATGACTTAACTCCTTTTTTTCCCAAAAAGACTGGCACTGGGAGAAACAAAAAGAACAACCCAAAGCATACCAGCGGATCCTGCAGTGCTTCTTAGACAGAAAAGACTGTTGCTACTCCATCCATCAAATGGGTAAGGTCACATCAGTGCATTAAAGACAACACCTGTACCTGCTCCTCTCGTCCCCTGCCTTATATGTGGCTTCACTAAGTTGCCCAGTGCTTAATTATTTATGCAAAACAGTAGGATTTTGTGGCGTGCTGGAAGACCTTTTGCTAACATGTTTATTTTTTTTCCACATCAAAACAGCACAAATGGGTGTAGGAGAAGGGAAATCAATTGGTGAATGGTTTGGACCAAATACAGTTGCACAGGTGTTAAAGTAAGTAAAAGAGTCTGGCACCCGACTTATTCTGTCTCTCATGCCTCCCTCCTCCACCAACTCCATGTCCCATCAACCTAACTGTGCTTGCCATCCCCCTAAGCCACCCCTCCCCCTAAGCCACCAAACGTCTGTACCATTTTGCTCAGGCAGTGCTATGAAATGTGTAACTGGGGACATCAGTTTTGGAAGAGCAAAGTTACATCGTTGGTACCAGTATATGTGGAGGCACCTTGTTGGACTCATTCAGTATCCCCCACCCACACAGACTGCTGCTCATGTGCTGGGGAGCCATTAGCATGAGGGCCACTTTGAAGCCAAAGTGTTCATACTGAGCGGGGGAGGATGAGCCAGCCTAGGCGAGACATGGACTCCCAGCCTGTCTAGTATAAAAAACTACCATGAATTTATTTATTCATTTAATATTTACTGGGTGCCATTACTGTGCTAAGTGCTGGGTGTACAGAAATGAACTAGACACAGTCCTTGCCTCAAGGAACTCATGATTTATTGGAGGAGACAAATTCCATGGGAGTCTTGGAATCGGTCTGTCATCTCTTAGACTCCAGGCACCCCAGCATGGTACTTTCATACTTGTTCTGTTAAACCCCAGAATTTACCTCCCACATCAAGAGGCAAGGCGAAGAGGCCAGGCCCATGGTTTGGCAAGTGAATGAGGTGAGTGGATCTGCACCCACACCTGCGGCCCACCTCACCTGTTCTCACTGCCCTTCCCGACAACATATCACCCCATGAAAACTCCATGAGGGCAGCGCTTGCGTTTGTGTTGTTCACTCCTGTAACTCGAGCACATAACACTGCCTAGCACACATAAGTACTCAGTAAATATTTGATGAATGAATGAAAATGGCAGCCAGATCTGGGGCTGGAGTTAGGCATCAGAAGACTGAAATTGCTGGGCCTCCTTCGGTGTGGCGTGCTTCAGTTCTGGGCTCTCTGGAGCATGATGGTGGGGCCTGCTCCATGCACAGTACACATGGGGTACTGATGCAGTGATTAACTAGTCTTCAACAAACTAGAACACTTGGGAAATACACTTGTGAGGGGAGTCGTCTGGATTTCCTGGGGACTCAGGTGAAACTTGCATCTTGGCTTTACTCCTTGCTCACAGTGTAGGCTGTCTGACACCACTTTCTCACCCTAATCTATGATGCCTTTTGGGGCACTGTTGGCTCTGCTGAGTGAGGACTTGGCAGTATTTCTGGAACCCAAGGCAGAAAGTATGGAAGATTAGAATGGTTGTGCTGAGCCCCAAACCCAGCTTCAAATGGTTGTGTCTTTAAGCCATATTCCTCAGAATTTGCTTCTTTATTCTACATTTTGAGGTTCCCAACAACAAATAAATGGAAACATACATTTTTAAAATAATTTTAGTGGGTTCCGATTCATGATCATTATTCTCATTAACAGCAGTATATTATCATTATTATGTCATTGTTGTTATTTTGGGAAAGATAATACATTAGACTGAGTAGAATAAAAGTGTAATAGTAGTTAGCGTCTTCCTAGGAGCTACTTTGGTTTGGGAGACAATGTTTTTTCTTTTGTCCAGTGAGACTGGACTTTACCCAAGAATCCCAGAGTAGCCTGGTTAAATGTGTTTTCTTTCAATCTGGTAAGAGAAGAAGATAAAGGAGAAATAATCATGGTACTTTGCTCAGATCTCAGATAAGCACTTAAAGGGGTTTTCTTTCTAATCTCTTCTGGAGTCATGCAACTCAGCATGCTCTCTCATCAACTGTTGATCAGTAAGGCCCCATACGCAGCAACGCCATCTGCAGCCCAAGTGTCCTTAACCAGCATTGCCATGCACGTGGAGAGGGAGGTGAGAGGTCACCTCTCTCTCTCCCTCTCTCCCTTTCCCTCTCTCTCTCCCTCTCTCTCTCTCTCTCTCTCTCTCTCTCTCTCTCTCGCTCTCGCTCTCGCTCTCGCTCTCGCTCTCACTCTCTTTCTCTTTCTCTGCCTCCCTTGCTCTCTCTCTCTGGATTTTTTTGGGGCTTATTTTCTATGTTCCCAAACAAATATAAGTATATTTTAATGACCGTTTCCTTTTATTGAAAAGAGCACTAAGTCAGAGTTTCTTCTATTTAAGACAAGAAAACAAAATCTCTTGGGAGCAGAGGCACTGGTAAACTTTTGTCTTTCACCCAAGAGGAGTAATGTCATATTGTTAGGTAGACTTTTCCATTTTTTAAAGCAGGGTCTCCTTTTCAAGGTTCAGAAACTGTGACTCTGTGGTCAAGGTCCCTGGACACGGAATGTTCCAGAGCTTGGTCAAAGGAGCCAGCACTGACCTGAACCCCAGCTTCTCTGAGGCTCAGTGTTTGGTGACTTCAGGAACGCTGGGCATGGATTGCACTGCTTCCTGCTGGTATTTCCATCCTCCCCAGTTGTGACTTCATTGTATGTTGCTTTGCAGAAAACTTGCTTTATTTGATGAATGGAATTCCTTGGCTGTTTATGTTTCAATGGATAACACAGTGGTCATTGAAGATATCAGTGAGTCCCCAGCCTGTTTTCCTTGGTGGTGGGTGATCGGGAAATTGGGGTGAGAGAGAGACAGAGAGAAACAGAGATAGCAGCAGAGAGACAGACCCCACACACACATTGATTCCCCACCAGGGCAGGGGAGCTTAGGTGAGCACAGGACTCTGGTGAATCACCCGCTGCACCCTTTTTCCTCCTCCCTCTCAGCTCTCTGAAAGGGGGAAAACAATGAGAGGATCTTTGCTGCTCCTCAGTGGGCTCCCAGACCTTTCGCTGCAGGACACACAAGGTGGGGATAGTCAGTTCAACCACAACAGGTCTTCTACGGAGGCCACCCCCTTATCCAGCTCTGTGCTCCCCACCACGAGGTTAGAGAAACCAAAAGATACAGCCCCTGTCCCAAAGGCCTTTGCAGACTAGTTAAATGAGATTCTCTCAGTGAGGTCGTAATTTCTCACAGGCGGTAAGGGAGTGCTCAGTTGCCGGGAGGAAGAGAAGTAAGGGCTGCAGGAGGGGCCTGGGCTTCCTGTGGGAAGTGGGACAAGCTGGGCCCTGGTGGCAGAGAGGAAGGCCTTCCAGCCAGCGGGTGTCCTGTGCGGTCTCCCTTAGTTTTCTCCTTGGCACACTTAGGGCTGGATTCCCCGAATTTTCTCACCCAGCTCTCATCTTCTGTTTCTAGAAAAAATGTGCTGCGTCCTTCCCGTGAGTGCTGCCACAGCTGGTGAGAGCCCTCCCGACTCTCTGAATGCTTCGAACCAGAGTAAGGGCACCTCTGCCTGCTGCCTAGCCTGGAAACCCCTGCTGCTCATTGTGCCCCTTCGCCTGGGCATAAACCAAATCAATCCTGTCTATGTTGACGCCTTCAAAGTAAGTTGCTTCTTTTTCCGAGCCCTTTGCTGCCTGCCCATCACACCACCATGTGAACACGGAGATCCGTGAGCAGCAGTCCATAAGTGAGTTGAGAATCTTGCATTCTCTTTCCCTCTAGGAGTGTTTTAAGATGCCACAGTCTTTAGGGGCATTAGGAGGAAAACCAAATAACGCCTATTATTTCATAGGATTCTTAGGTAAGAAAAGAGGAATCACAAGTAAGTCATTGTGGGCTAGGGGAGGGTGGGCAGAAGGTTTGCACGGGAGACCAGGCGATTTCAGTTAGGGGGGCCTTGTCCAGCCCGGAGATGCTGTGGCCCCTGATCAGCTCCCTCTGTCTCCGGCCTGATCTGTGCAGAGTAACATTTCTGGATGTCTGACGGAGAGCACATCCCCCCTTCAATGCCTCCGCTTCCTTGCCCCTTGATAAGATAGTTCCATGCTGCTTTCCCACTGGACTGCCCCAAAGTCACAGCATTGCTTCAGCACATCTCTCTCCTTCCTGTGGGCCCAGGGTGGCACTCCGCTGGCCTGGTTGATCCCCGTCTTACTGGGATTTAGGCATTCGGGCTAGGAACTGTCCTCTGTCTTCCCGGGCCCACGCAGCTGGGCCTGCTGGCTCGTTGTTGAGAACCCTGACTGGGAGGGAATTAGAGGAGGCAGAGACAGAGGTATCCCTAATCTGATAATGGGGGCTAGGCCCTAAAACCACTAACCTCCTAATACAGATGCTCGCGAGCAGCCTGACCTCCCCTGCCTAGGTTGACACCCGTGGAAACCCAGCCATCTTATTCACTAGCTATGACCAGAGACATTTAAGGCCCTTGGCACACAAGGTGAGCCAGTCCAGTGCTTCTCAAACTTTAATATGCACATGAATCACCTTGAGAGCTTATTGCAGTGCAGGTTTGGCAGGTCTGGGGGTGGGCCCTGAGAGGCTGCATTTCTCATATAGGTAGTGCTGATGCTGCTGGTACGCACACCATGCTTTGAGTACCAAGGACCTAGACACCTGGTCAGTGCTGAAGAACACGGGGGAAGGGAGTGACGTGGCTAGGGGAATTTGATACAGGGCTCCTCTCACAGGAGCGTAGTGGTCCCAAAGCGGGCCTCGAAGAAAACTGCAAGGGACAACCTTAGCTAGGCAAGGGGGAGCATGAGGGCTGCGCAGAGGACAGGGTGAGATGGGCTCAGTCACCCTCCCAGCATCTCCTCCTTGGACATTCAGAGAGCTGAGGTGAAGTGGAAACACACATACCTGGCCTTGTATGACAGTCTCCCAGTTGCTAGCTGTGTGACTGCTGGAAAAGAGTGTCAACTCTTTCAATCTCAGGTTCCTCTTATGGAAAAAAGGGTTAACACCTCACTTACCATGTTCTCACCTCACAGTAGAGCACTCAGCAAAGAGCCAGGCATATAGTTCACACTCAGTAAAAGGTGCCTCCATCCTTCCTGACCTTGACACCGCTTTCCTTTTCTCCATCTTTCTTCCTCTCCTTGAGGCCTGGGTTTCTACACAGTTGCCTCGACTCTCTCTAGTGCTGCCATCTATTGGTCTAACCTATGAACTACAGCTTGATGGAAAATTTGGAGGCTTTTATTTTTCTAAGTAGAAAACCAAGCATTTGGAGCTATATAAATTTTGATGTCCTCCTTTGTTTCTAAGCTTTTGAGTTCCTGTCAAAGAAAATGTTGCAATAATATATTTCCTGTTGTTTGTGCTTGAGGATAAGGTTAAAACAGATTGGAAAATAACTTTGAAGGGATTTCAGTGAATGGTGTGTGATTCCCAGACTCACTGGCCTCCCTTATCCCAAGTTACCCAGGCAGAATTTGCCAAGCTGGTGTAGCCGTTCTGTTTCCTGAGGCTCCTGGGTCAGGGTGACTGTGTGGAGTTTAACTACTCATACAAGAGGCATGGGCTACCCTCAGTTTCTGAGACAGAGGTTTACATAGTGCCCATTAACTTTTTTTTTAGATTTTTTTTATTGGGGAATTGGGGGGATGGGAACAGACAAGTTGCTGTTGTTTTGTTCTTCAGTCTAGTTGTGGAGGACGTTGCTTCACTGGCCCAAGTTGGCACCATCATTGTGCTCTTCCCGGGTGAGGCAGATCAGCCGCCGGCCTCTGGATGGTCGCTGACTGCGGTTGCTGGCTGCTCACACTGGCTGCTGGCTACATGCGGTAGCCCATGGCAACCCACTGCAGCAGGGGCTGCAGCCTACGCTGTCGCCGATGACCCACGGCAGCCCAGCTCCAGGTCGAGCTGTTGTTCAGCATCTTAGCTGTAGAGGGCAGTGTCACTGGCCCTCATATATGGGATCTGAACCGGGGCCCTCTGGCGTTCCAAGCCAGTTCTTAACCATCGTGCCACTTGGCCGGCCCCCCATTAACTTTTAAAAATACTTTGTTTATGGGCCGGTCGAGTGGCTCAGTTGGTTAAGAGCGTGAGCTCTGAGCAACAGTGTCGCCGGTTCGAATCCCACGTGGGCCAGTGAGCTGTGCCCGAGCTGAGCTGCTGCTGAGCTGCCAGTAGGTGGCAGGATGGCTCAGCTGGTGAGAGCAGTGCCCCTAACAACAAGGTTGCCAGTTCGACTCCCGCATGGGATGGTGGGCTACACCCCCCGCAGCTAAGGTTGAACACAGCACCTTGAGCTGAGCGGCTGCAAGCTGCCTACAGGCGGCCGGATGGAGACTGGACTTGGAGCTGAGCTAGCTGCGCCCTCCACAACTAAGACTGAAGGACAACAACTTGGCTGTTCCCCTTCCCCAATTCCCTAACATTGTTCCCCTTCCCCAATTCCCCAATATAGTCTTAAAAAAAGTTTTTTTAAATCCTTTGTTTAACCTTCACTCGAGGCTCCAAAGTCCCCTCAACTCCCCTTTTCTGACTCACCCCCATACTGTGTTAGGTTAGGGAGTCCGGATTGGTAGAATGAGTGAAAGGATGGAATGGATGAGAACTGCCATTTTCTGAACACTGTCTTGTGCCAGGGACTCTGCAGTGTTCTCTCTAGATAGATAGGTATAGATAGTTACGTAGTGATGTATAGAGATAGTTATATAGAGATATATAGATATAGATATAGTTATACAGAGATGTATACATACAGTTATACAGAGATATATAGATAGATATATAGAGATGTATAGATATAATTATTTGAAGATGTATAGATAGAGATAGTTATATATATATATATATATATATATATATATAGTTATAGTTATAGTTATAGTTATACAGAAATGTATAAGTATAGTTACACAGAGAGGGATGGATAGATAAACAGATGAATGGATATAGTTAGCATAACAGCCCTGTGAGGTAGAGATTGTTATTTACATTTATGTATGCCTAGTGAAACTACGATGTAGAGGGGTTGTTTCCTCCAGGCCACCTAGCTAGGAAGTAGCAAAGCCAGGATTGGATCCATTTGGCCATCCCTATCTACCACACCACATTGCTTCCTGAGCACCCTCTTGCCCTGTTGGGAAGCTGGGAGAAGCCATTGGTGTAGGAGATTATGGCCAAGGTGAGACTCTGACTGGTAGATTTTTCCTGCATTTGCAGGAGACATTTGTCCCCTGTGCTTTAGTAGAGGTTGTCCCCTGGAGATCAGTAGCGTGAGCCCTGTGTCTGCAGATGGTTGACCAGCCTGCCTCTTCTCCTTGGGCCTCATTAAAGACCTTGGTTTAGTCTCCTCATCATTTCTAGGACTTTTTATATCTTCGACTATATCTCTTTTAAGCACTCTGAGAAATAGGCCAGCCCAGAAAGCCCCACTACACACACACACACACACACACACACACACACACACACACACACACATATGCACGCGCACATACGCACGCATGCACATGCACACATATGCACACACAAAAGGGCCAGAGGCAGAGAGGACGCTGCTATTATTCCCAGCACCTTAACTCGAAACACTCTGGTAGAATGCTCAGTTCTAGCCCTGCTTTGGATTTGGATTTTCCTGTACACAACTCCCTGCTCCTCTTACCTCTCTGGTCTCAGGTAGGCTTCCATCTAAACACCCCGGTTGGTGCTCTTCATTGTGACCTGCGGCTTTTTGTTATAACTGATGTCACCCTGTGGACTGGAGGAATCTGTACCTTCCCTTTGATAAATTGAGCCATATGGCAGCACTGATTTCCGTATACTCTTCAATATCTATTTGTAGGGGAATACTTTTGAATCTAAGAAAGATACCTCTTCTATGACTTTGTTCAATTTGTATTCTGTTTGAAGCATTTCACAGAGATGAAATTTTCCCATTCTTATACTACCCTGTGAGGTAACTGGAACAGGCCAATGACCCCAGTTTAAAAATAAAAAAATGGGGCCGGCCGAGTGGAGGGTTGGTTAAGAACTGGCTCAGGATGCCAGAGGGC